GCACTTAGCCTCAAGGTTGCTATCTCTATTTCAGGGCTTGCAAATACAAAAGCATTTTTGCCCCAGACGTATCAATCTAACAGGCTTTATGTGTCCCCACAAACTATGTCTGAAAGCCCTTAGGAATGAATAAGATCCTACCTTGAGGCTGAGGATCCTACGAGGCAAAAAGGCACCTCCTTAGAGCTAGGTTGCAGTGCTGAACTTCTCAATTCTCACTCCCTCTTTGTTGCCCATCTACTTGTTCTCACTGCTCAAAGTCATCACTAATAAAGACGACAGATGTACTCCACTTTTTTTAGTTTCCATCTATTTTGTATTCAAAATACAAGACTTCTTAACTCTGTTTTCTCTCCTCCGCTGCTTTCCTGCTCCCCCATGGACAGCCCACCTGCAGCCTCCCATTCCTTTCACCTCCAGAAAAGGAGAGGCAGTTTCTGCCTGTCCTCCAAACCCCTGCATTTCCTGTGAAACCAGAACTGAGATACTTTGAAATGTTTGTTTCAGCTCTCCTGCTGTGCAGTCAGGTAACACAGAACAAAAGGAAGCTTTCATTGCCTTTTGTCTTTGTGGTTTCGTTTCTAAAAAGGAATATGGATTCTTCAGCATAAAGCAGTAAGTTTTTCAAAGAAGCAGAATCCACATAAAATTTTTTTAGAAGGATAATAGTGACACTATTGAGGGACTGTAGCTTAGTTTCCTTCGAATTATATCAGCTATCTGGCACCTTAGAAGGAGAAAGTGTTGATGGACTATTCAACTTTCCATATTTGTAAGCATAAAGATGCTTTCCAAAGGAAAGACGTAAATTTATTGAGAAATTTCAAATATCAAGACTGTGGGTTGTGCCAGTTCCAATCACCTCTCAAATCTTGTGAGATCATGCCACCACAGGTATTTATCACATCTCCTCGTAACTTGAGGAGTTAGAGTTAATCTGACTCTGTTACAGTGAATTATAGTATCACTGAAAGGTTACAAATATATGTAAATTGGAACTTTACTGAAGTTGCAAATTGCTGTCCCAAAGCGGAGAAGTACTTTGGATACATTTCAAAATGTGCAAATTTCAAACTCAAAATCACAGGAACACACACATAATTACACTAAGAGTTTCACCTTTTCAACAAAGATTGACTGGGATTCTTCTCAAAAATGCCTGCAAGATGTATGTCTATATTCCTTTCATGATCAGTGCCAAGAAACAGACATTTCTAAGACATGACAAATGTCCATAGAGCAGTGAGGATAATGCAGACCACATCTTAGGAATTCCTATTTTCATCAGTGATTAGACAGAGTTCAGATGATTAGCTTGGCTTTAGACATCATAGACACTTAAAATTAGGTGAGATAAATCACACCTTATTTAAGTATTACTTAAATTTTACTATGTACCTGTGAAGCTACTGTGTTATATTCAGAGAAACTGAAACACAAAGTCAAAAAATTACCAAGAATCATGAAGAAAATCAGTATCAAAACAGATTAACATGTATGAGTTTATAGACCCAGGCTTCAAATTCAGATTATGCTCTGTCACAATCTTTCTAATCCCAGCACTTCTCGTGTTTAACCTCAAGAAATAGGTGAAACTTTCCCTTTTCTCTACATTACGCTCTTTATTGCCTATATGTCATCATCCTTTTCCTCACACACTCAAAGCAATCTCATGCCAGTATGAAACTGCATTACAGAGGTCATATAATCTTGATAAATATTTTTCCAATTTGTGTTTTACTTGTAGAATTTATAACTATTATGGAAACTACTCAGCCACAAAATGAGAGCAGATACTGGATAAGAAACAAGTTCAGACACAGAAAATGAAAAGGAAGGAAAATTAAGTTATTCTTGCTATTGAATATACCAAATAACAGATATGGTGGCCATCATCTTGACAAACACACCTACCTGAAGTGTTTAAAGTAGGACTCTGCTGCTTACGTTAGGAGTCAGTTCCACCACTGAGATGAGTAACACAATCACATTCCGCTGTGGACATGTGAAATATCAGCAATAATTACTTAATTACTCAAAACTAGAAAGAGTTTTTGCACTTTGCTGTAGATACTGATGACCTACCATGCTGTGAGCTGCATTGTGTTTCTCCAAAGGTTAAAGGTGCACAAATTGTTCAATACTTTGGCAGCCAATTATAAAGAAACTGCAAATGCTCAATAAAACCAAAGGAGGAAGGCAGACCCTGCAATCTTCCAAGCTGCAGAGGGTTATCACCCTTCTTACCCCAAGATAACTAGGAAAAAATTCTTACTCATATGAGATGCCCAAATGTAAAGGTTTTGAGAATACTCTGTGGAGATCTGGCTAAATGTAGATTTGGACAGGTTTTTTCCTGTCCCAGTAAATGAGTATAAATACATATTTCATAGTTGGATTTTGCACAAAGTATTTTCCAAAGCTTTGAGGTATATTCTTTCACTATTTGAAGAACAGAATGGAGAACCTGAAAGAGTCTCTCTGGCAACTCAGCCTGGCACTGCTTAACAGGATCCCAGGAACACCAGGAAGCAAGAAAACACCACATCGTGTTCTCTCTTTGCTAAGTTTTGAAAGCAAAAATGAGCCAAAGGGAGACTAGAAACTCGGGAAAATTCCCCAGGCTCCACATGGGGCTTCATTTAAACACTCTGCTGGGATACTTGCAACTCTGCAGCTAAGGCCACAAAAAACCACAAGACCACCTGCGTGACTACCACATCTAGCCTTTGCAGTTCATCATGAAAAGCAATACATGATAGCTTTTATCTTTTATTTTTTAGAGCAGGTTGTCACACGGCATGTCATATCCATCATTCTGTGCTTGCTCTCACACTGAACACGAGAAAGGAAAATTTGGAACACGCTCTGTGAATGCTTTAATATTCTTTCAAAGAAAGCAGGTTTTGTTTGAATCAATCACAACCATTCTACCAGTTATTCCACAGGGAAAATATATATGTCTTCTTCTAATAAATTAAGTGAATTTATGTGCATAGAAAGTGGAGAAAGTCATTAAAAGGTTTTGAACAGATTTTTTACTAATTTATATGTCCCATACAAATTACATTTAAATGTCGATTTGGGAAAACAACATCTGCCCAGAGTAAGCTGACATTTTTCCTCTTTTTCCATTCTGTTAATCAACCACTACCTGAGCAATTATTCATTATGAGTAACAACATTTGATATAGCACTTCTTTTCCCCTAAAGAGTCCCAAAGCAAACTCTTTTTGTTTTGAGTGTGGTGGGGTCACTTCCACTACTGACCCATGTCTATGACTCCAGTGCTAAAATCACACAGCAGTGAGGAACCTTCGATAAGAAATACGCAGACTAATTAATTTTAAGTCAAAAGGACCCTTACGTGGAATTAATCTGTTTAGATCTTCTGCATAACGTAGTCTATATAAACTCAACACTCCTTATAGACAGATTGTCTTGATTTGAAGATATCAGGTAGATCATCCCTAGATCAGGATTCTCAGGTGTATCACTCCTACGCAGGTAGGATATATCTTACCTTCTGAGCAAAGGCAAGGAAGCATCTTCAATCATACCCACAGAGGAGGAGCACAGCTTTCAGACACACACAGATCTCTTCACCTGCACTGAATCACTAGCTTAATTTCAGAAGAAAGGGAAAATCACTGCAACATTCATGGCACCAAATTGGAGGCTTAGTGTATATATGATGGGATTTTGTTTCTTTGCTGCCTAGATTCTCATCGGAGCAGTAATTGCCATGGGCTCAGCAGACCGAGATGGTCGTCTCCATCCTGGTGATGAGCTGGTGTATGTAGATGGGATTCCAGTGGCCGGCAAAACCCACCGATATGTGATTGATCTTATGCATAACGCTGCCCGAAACGGGCAAGTGAATCTTACTGTGAGGAGAAAGGTGCTACCCACGGGTGAGTGAAGGCTGGGAAAGGTGAAAAACAGATCTCAATGCTGGCAGCACAAACAGGTGCTGTTTTAAAAAAAATAGAGAAAATTAAGATCAAAGTGAATGTTTGTGCCGTTTTGAAGAAAGAATAATTGTAAACGTGTCCCTTGTTTCTCTGACAAAAACACTACAGCTGAGTGTTGTTTCCCTCAGAAGTGGAAACAATATTGGCAACCCCGGTGTTGTGATCATGAGTGCTCAGATTTGTTCCATGCTGTCTTGGTCTGTGCTGTCTCCTCTTGTCCACTTTTGGGTCAAAACGTTCACCTAAGTTAAAGCTGTTAAAGCTGACTGTGTCGATAAGCAATCAGAGAAAGGCTGTTAACTGTTTAGGGCAGGAACTCATTTCACTCTTGTATGTGTTAAAAGCCCATTTCTGGTCTCACTGATGTCATCTGGAATTCCCCCCCCCGCCCCCGACTGCAACGCAAGCTGGCTGAAAACCTTCTGCACGGCACATAGCGGCTCCTAGGAACAGGGCCGGATCCTCCCTTTCAGCAGACATATTCAGAAAACAAACCTAAAACAATATGAAGAATTTGAAGTAAATTAAACCTTTAGACTAGCTCGGTCTCAATTATTGAAAAACACTGGAACCTGGAAAAATGTGTGGCAGCATCTATTGAAGCTTTAATGGGAGAATTTGCTGCCGTTCCGTTGCAACTCGAGGAAAGAAGTTTATTTCAGAACTTTTAAAACATTTGTGGTGAGTACACTTCACTGAGGCACCAGAAATGAGCAAAACCACGTTCCCAGCCTGTCCTGCCTTCTGCCTCCCCATGCCCTAGATCCGCTGTCGTTGCCTGCGCCGTTCCCCTTCGCTCCCCTGCCAAAAAGCCGCCCTCCCACTCACCTTCGTCTTCGCAGTCCCCCTCCCACTGCGGCACCGCAGCTCCCTGCCAGCCGCGCTCTCGCGGGACTGACTTTCTTCTGTTACTGACTCCAGAGTCCTCCAGCCAGAAAGGTCCCCCTCCGCTCGGCGCGACGCCCCCTCGCAGCTCCCCCAGCGCTAGGAAAATGGCCAATAACCAAGGTAATCCGCCGACCGCTTGCGATTAGCACCTTTCCCGGGTCAGCCGGCTGTACAGACTGCAGGCAAAATTAGCAAGAGGGTTAGCACAGAGTGGATGCCAGCCTTCGCTGCTGCATGTTAAATATTAAATAAAAGGGTCTATTAGACACTCTGGTCTCCTGGCACAGAAAATGAAGCAAGCTGGTAGAACACCTGGAGTTATTCTTGGGCCTTGAGAGTGCCACACCAGGGAGTATAGTGTGTAACTCATTAATGTTCAAGCATTTCAGGAGCCGAACAGGATTTTAATTTGGTGTGTTACAGCATAAGCTTTGTGGAAAAATTTTAAAAAGACTGATGTTGGGCATGACTGAAAAATGCTATGCTAACACATCAGGCCAATTGATTTCGTGTGAATTTCTCACTAGCGTGAATGTATACAGCAGAGGGATCTGGGGCTTTCCTTACCTGTCTGATAGCTTGTGTACGTATCATAGCCCTCACCTGGAATCGTCATTTTGCACAGATACTTACCCAGATGTGGAACAGAAAATCACTATTCACAACTCTGCAAAACAATTTCATTAGGAAAATATAATATTCGGAACAATGTGGATTAAAATGCCATTTTTTCACAGGCAGAAGCAAAATGTAATTTTTCTGATGAATATCTATTGCACAGCTGACAATTGAATAGCCATTTAAACTTTTCATCCTTTATCTTTTTTTCCTATACTTAATGGCGTTCTGTTGCATTCTTTTATGGCCAAGACAGCTCTTGGTCACTCTGCAGGGTAAGATAATTTCCTTTCTGTTGCAGCCATACTGACATAAACAATATTCAGCTTTCTGAAATATGACAGCCAGAAAATGAGATCTCTCTTGTCACTGACTATGGCATTTAGTTGCAGATTTGGTTCAATAACTCTTGGTGATTTTCAATTCTAATGCAGGAGTATAATAATTGTTTGTTTTTCTTCCTCTTTATTCTCTCTAATCACTTCATTACATAGTTGCAGAAGGACTGCTAAAGGATACAACACCTGACTGAGAAAACAACAGCTTGTCCTTGGATGATGTTTATTTTATTAATATATACATACTGAAGGTCTAATTTGCAAGCTCTCTTCCTAGGATGTATGTGTGTATGCGTAAGCTCTTCACATGTTCAGTAGAATGACTCTGCCACTCTTATTGCTTCGAACAGAAAACATACTACTTACACTCATCTGAAAGTTCTGTATTAAAACTGTCAATAAATGCTGAGTTGTGTAAACAATTTAGATCTGTGAGGAATATAAATCTTTTTTCCCATCTGGAAATGTAACTTTACTGTTTTCAATTGCCAAAATGCTTGTACTAAAAAAGTGTGTAATCCCACAAGATTTAATTTATTCCCTGTTCTTGTTACTACAAAGCAATACTGAAGTGTGGATGGACTCCATTTTCACTTCTGCCCTTTTGAACTCGCCACACAGCATCTTCAAAATCTTTAAATGAGCACTGCTTCAGTCACAACACCCGCAGAAAAACTATTTATGATTATTTTTCACTGTATAACTGCTCTGTTCCATGAACATCTTTTGAGCATGCTGATCAACTTGTAAGAACATTATGCAGCTAATCCTAATTGCTCTATGTTAGCTACCTGCTTAAATTCTTTTAATCCAAATACAAATAATTTTATATTGGATTAGACGGTCACATTTTCCTCTTGATGACAGATCAACCAGCAGACAAGGGAACAGTGCTTGCTAATGTTTTTGCAATCCACATAGCCACTGTTTCTTACTTTCCTTTCCTCTCCTCTCTTTTAGATGGTTTAGCAGTTTACGTTCATGCTTGCTTTATCTGATAGCCCTTGAATGTTTTGCATAATTGTGTAGATTCCTGTCTCTCTGCATCTATTACAGCTCCTAGTTTAATACTTGCGGTAGTCTGGGCTATAGACAGTCAACTGTCTTCATGTTGCATTAGCAAATGTAGTGTAAGTCACAAAGCCACTGAGCAAGTCAGACTGTAACACTGGTGTGATTTATGTTGTAGGAGAACCGTGCCCAGAGAATGGCAGAAGCCCAGGCTCGGTGTCTACACACCACAGTTCTCCAAGAAGTGACTACACTACTTATGCTAACAGTAATCACGCTGTCTCTAGTAGCAATGCTACACCCCCCGAGGGCTTCACTTCTCCCAGCCTGCAAACCAGTGACGTTGTGATCCACCGCAAGGAGAATGAAGGCTTTGGCTTCGTTATCATCAGTTCCCTGAACAGGCCTGAATCTGGGTCCACAATAAGTAAGTAAATCACATTTTTCAGCTTATATTTTTCAAGTTCACCCCTAATAAAAAAAAAAAAAAAATTAATTAAAACCTGACACCTGCTAATTAATCACTACACAGAATAAGGCTGAAGGGACTCTCAAGGTTGTTTCCAGGGCCACCATTTGTCTGTTGTGTCTTGGCCAAAACCAAAGGTTATTCTGGCCTCTGAGGTTCTGTGCTTCACACACTCATTTGGCTGTCAGAGTACGACAGGATTCACTCACAAAGTAGATTTTCTCTATTCCCATATCCCAGAGACACTCTGCAAGTAACTACCAGAGTTATGTGAATAAATTATTTCTCCACATGCAATTGAATTACACTTTTTTTTTTTTTTTAATCAAGATGAAGTTCAGGAACTTGAAATAAAAGCTGAGATCACAGCAAACCCCATGACAGCAGCTGTCCAGTTAGGGCACTGCAGAAGCAACAGGAAAATGGGAAAACTGGTTAGGCAGAGGTCCAGGGAGGTTGATTTTTTAATTAGCTGGACTATACATAGTATAAAAGTTATGACTGAGTACAAGGAGATGGTGAATATAGTGGCAGGATCTGCCTTTAATGATTATAGTTCACTTTTCTGTCCAGAAAACTAATGTTTGCTGGGGCTCAACTTTATTGCTTTAATATAGGCATCCGGTGCCATTTGAGACGCCCTCGGTCCCTCTAGGGAGAGGTCAGGCAGATGTGCCATAGGGCCTACAGGAGACTCAGACCCTTTGGCAGTGGCAGCTGCAGGCCCAGGGGTGCCCTCGGGCATTTCAAATGGCATTTAACCACCTGTGAGCTGAGCCCTTCGGAAGGAGGAAGCATAAAAGGCTTTATGTTGAGAGACATCCACATGTCCCACCAAAACCGTCTGAAATTGTGAATGCTAATCACTGCTGAAAAACCAAGACAAGTGAGAACATTTGTCATTTTGCAAGTTGCAGCCTAATGCAGTCCTTTCCCTGCGTTCCAAATACGTTTTGAAGGAACTGTTCTTTTACCCAAAAGTGCTTCCTGAGGAAATAAAATAACAATTTCAACTTTTAGGGCAAAACTTCACTCTTCTAAATTCATAACAGAAAAGCAACTAAAAGACTACTGGGAAAGCCGTATCTCACACTAGCAAATGATCTCAGAAAACTTCTTTGCAGTATTTCATGATCGTGCACTTATTAAAAGTGTTGCTTTTCATATTATCTCAGCTGAATTTTAAAATTCCATGATTGCCAGAATTAATATTGTAACAAAACCATGGATAATTAGCCTCTTGGGACTCTGAGTTTTCACTTTATTGAATATAATAACCAATTGGAAGTTCTTTGCATAAGACCAGACAGGAAAAAAAAAAATCCATAGAGGACATCGAGATACATACATATTCATCAGATAAGTCAGTCATGAATTTTTCAAGAAAATTATTTCACAGATAGGGTTTGTGGTTGGGGGAGATGGAGAGGGAAGAAAATGCCCAAGCAACCAAAAATTCTGTGACTGGATTATTCTGCTGAGGACAACAGACCCAGGTTCAAGATCCTGCTTTGCCTCCTACCCTCCGACATGTTCTTGAGGTACTTTTCTTTCTCCCCGATCAACTACATAGGCAGCCACTGTTGAACCTCAGTTGAACACCTCCAATAGTAAATGAAAATTACAGTCTGCTGTGGAAGTGACAAGAAAATTTATTCAAATAATAACTGCATTGAATTTCAGTGATCCCAAAGAGCATCCAAATCCTAAGTTTAGAAGAATAGCAAAAATGACTTTTGCTGTAGACAGTGACAGAACAGAGAAGAAATTACCCTTTCCATGTTAATTCTGTTCTAAAACGTAGTAGCAAAAATAGCTGGAAATAACATACTCTGTCATCAGTAATAAAAACAGGCTAAAAATCATTGGTTATTTGTAGTTTAAGGGAGGTTCATTTTCTTTACTTAATAATTATTTGGGTGAAGTAATTTGGGCTATATTATCAGGAGCATAGCCAATAGATTGAGGGGAAATTATTATCCCCCTTTACTCAGCACTCATTAGGACCCATCTAGAATACAGCATCCAAGTTTTGGGCCCTTTGATAGAAGACAGGACAGAAAAACTTCAGCAGCAGCCACTGAGACCTCCTGAGGACCCTTGCAGCTTGAAACAACCTGAAATCCTTTGATTAAAATGCACAATCAGGGGTAGAAAGCATAGTAAGAGTAGGGAAGTATCAACTGGTGGAGGTGTAATGTCCAAAATACAGCTTATATCAGTATGGAAATATGGATCTGTGTGGCACCATGTCAAGCACTTTGATAGTCGCTCATTTCTCATAGCAGTAGTATGTTAATTTGGTGAAATGTTGTACTCTGTTTCCAGTGTTTCTGGTTTCAGAGCCAATGCACTTGTTGCCAGCTCATGCATCCCTATGTGGCACAGAATGATACTGTGCAGACATACCCTAAACATAGGCAGTTAAATGTTAATGTAATAATTGCAAGGCAACTCTGAAAGAATCAAAATGGGCAAAATAGGTCAGAAAAGGGAGTATCTTGTACTGCCAGACACTACTAGGAATAGCATAGCCTAAGAAGTTGTCTCACTAGGAGCATCCTCAGGGCAAAGTGAAGAAGGGTTCCTTTGATTTAAGAATGTTTATTTTGATAAGTCTATTCCCCTCTCTACTTTCTTGTAAAAGAAAAAGACTTGAGGACTTGGAAGTGTAAGTATCACCATCACTTTTACTCAAGAAGGCAATTAATCGTGCACTGAAAGTATTTTCCTCTTTCTTGAAATCACACTTATACATTATGTTTTACAATCCAACAAATTACGACAGCTCTGGCTTAGTGCAGGATCATGAACCTTGTGTCACAAGGTTGTGCTTCAAGCACTGTTAAAATTGAGATATTCATTCAAACAGAGTTGCTACTAGCCTCAGAGCTGCAGGTTCATGGGTTTGCTGCTTTGCGGTCGGACCAAAGCTCAAGGTGTCACACAAAAACTCATCCTCTGGGTGTTTGCCAGGGGAGTTAAAACTAGCTCTGGCTGTGAAGCTGTAGGACTGCCCCATGAAGCCAGAGTAGCAGTGCCCCAGCTGAGTCTCATACCCCTTTCCCACCCTCTCTGATGGGGTGTCATTCTTGTTCCAAGAGGCTTAAGGTCTTGGTCAGCTTTTCTGTCGACATGCTTTGCAAGGGGTTCGTTGTTACTGTTGATTTACAGACCTGCCTTTGCCTTGCAGAAATTTTCAAAATACTAAGTGCATTTTTTTATTGTTGGTACAGGCACAGAGTTAGGGCAGACTACAGCCGTAATTAGAGAATAAAGTATTTTTTTCACATTTTGTGATAGGCAGCACTGTAGTAGCTGTCATTTTAATAAATTACTATTAAATAGTTTGGAGCCAGCCTTTACATCTGATGTAATTTTGGCTTACTGGTACTTGCTTAAACATCCAATTCTTGTGGCACATTTCTTTTCCTATGTTCTATAATGGTAGAAATTTTGTCTCTCCTTTGTCAAAGCATTGCTTGGGATGTTCTCTAATCCAGCACAGGGGATTATTTTGCACCAAACTACAGTTCTGATATGGGGCAAATCAGGAGTGGAAAACGAGTGACAAGAATTGAATGAAGAGATTTCACAGGGAAAAGCAGGGGCATAGACAAGGTCAGCCATGCTTCAAAATTATATCAAAAAGAACTGTGTTTGAGTGGTACATCCAGAAGGAAGTCGTTTTGGCTAATGAAGAGCGCAGCAGATCTTAGAGTGCTAAAAGATTAAAAAAAGAAAATTTACCTGGCCAGGCTCCTGACCTGTTCCTAATGAAAGGATTAACTTCCACTGCCCCTAAGACATATTATCTTGATTTCCTTCAGGCCCCGTCCCAACAACAAAGGCTGCTTTGGCTCCCGTCCCTTCTGCAGACAGGCCACCTAAATTTGACCTTACTCTGTGCTTTCTTTTGCTATGCAGGCTACATATAGTTTATCAAAATTTTGTCATCTCCATTGGTATTTCTTTAAAGGACTCAATATCGTGTTCCCAGCTGAATGCTTGGAAGCTAACTCTAGTTTTTCACTTTTAGTTTGGGGCGGATCTGGACTGATTTAACGTCGCAGCTCTGTGGAGATCTTCCCAGTCTTTGCCCCCCAAATTGCAAACATCTTTTAGATGCCCTGGTTCAGTGGCAGAGTTAAGTGGCTAAACTGAGCAAACTGCAGCCTATTTCTGAAGTCCTGCCCTGAGGAATACCTTCATGCTTCCCCCAGTAAAAACACTCGCAGCGTGTGGTTCTGCGAGAAGGGCTGTCCTCCTGGGGCTGTCCCCTCCGAGTCCCCAGCATCTGCAGCAACCTGTGGGGCTGTGGAGGTGCAGCTGTGCCTGGGGTGGCATTGCCTCACACAACAGTACTGAATGTCTCACTACAGCAAAAATACTGAAACTGAATTAATTAATCTACCCATTGCATTACGTTTAGGATAACACCCAATAGTGTGAGTCCTCTGTGGTAAAACTCCATTCTTGTGGAGCTTTTTAGGGTATAAAGATAAGTTCACTATCTGCATCCCATGGAAAAGCACTTGCAGCCACCTGGAAATGGCCAAAAGGAGATTGCTGGATGAGTTTGTCCCAGAGCTTTATGGAGTACACTTGTCCCTGCCTGCTTCATATCTTCCTGCTGCTTTTACTTCATGTGTTTGGGATGCAGCTTCCTCTAGGAGAAGAACTTGTGATCCCCTGTAAATCTCTTAACTCCCTCATTTATGTAGAAAGAAACCATGTGTTGTAAACAGATCTCATTAAGTGGCAACTTCCAGTGAAATTGGAAAATTGGCAATATTTCCATGAATTTTACTGTAGCAGGTACTGTCAATTAGCACAGTTATAAAGTGTAAACCAACTAAAAACACAGGCATAATCAATAAACAATTTTCAAAAAACTAAAGGCAGACAACTGTGTGTACTTGTTATGATCTTCCTCCTGTTCAGCAAAAGCGGAGTTG